AAAATAATACACTAACTTTAAAGCTCTCCTTCATACTAATATTCTAACCGACCTGTTTAATGAGGTGATTATTCTTTGTAACACTAATGTTATTCAAAAGAAACAAACTTGCCCTTGTGCTGTTTGTAGTATGGTCTGGACAAATTTCCTTTCTGGATTTCCACAGGTGTGTATGGTGACGTGCATCGTGTGAAGATCATGTATAAGAAAAAAGAAAACGCTTTGGTTCAGATGGCAGATGCAACCCAGGCTCAATTAGGTACTGATTTTTAAGGCAGAGTTATGCATGAGTGTGATATAGGTGAGGAATTTTCCACCTGTCAGTGACAAGCATAAACAAATTAAATCCATCATTGTGATGCTTTACTATGTACAAACTTTTCCTTGTATATGTTGATAATGATCTGTTTGCTTTCATGTAAATAAATTATATTCCTATTGTGGCTTAAAAAAATAATCCTGTGCATCTCACTCTAGTAAATGTTAGAATTAAAACATCATACAATTTTCCTGTAATTTATCTTACACCTAGCTATTTAAGAATAATCAACTGCTCTTTATTGAAATGCTGTTTTGCATTTTTGTTGCATTTAGACTGGAGGCTATATTACATCTTTATACATTTTTTAAATATAATGTTAGGACATCTGGTAGAAATGGAAGTTGCAGTTTAAATTTAGAATGTGAAATCTGACACTAAATAGAACACAATATTAGTATTCAAAGAATCCTTTTTTCTTCCCTTACCTTCATTCCTGTTCAAATTATATTTCCACTGGTTAGCTATGAGCCACTTGAATGGACAGAAGATTTATGGAAAGGTCCTCCGTGCTACTCTTTCAAAACATCAGGTAGTTCAACTTCCTCGTGAGGGACAAGAGGACCAAGGTCTGACAAAGGACTATAGCAATAGCCCTTTACATCGCTTTAAGAAGCCTGGCTCTAGGAATTTCCAAAATATCTTTCCTCCATCTGCCACCCTGCATCTCTCCAACATCCCGTGAGTATCTACATGTGTGATCTTCTCGGAAAGATGATGTGTTTTAGGTTATGTTCCTAAGTTACAAAGTCTGACATAAACTTTAAATTTCCTTGGCCTTTTACAGTTTCCTGAGAATATGCATCATTCTGCTGTGTAATAAATGATGAGTGAATACTTTAACTGTTATTTTTTTATTGTTAGCAAAGAGGATAACTGATTGAAGACTCTTCTTTATGAATTTTAATACAGTTTGCATTTTCTTGAGAATATGCTTTTGTTTTTTCACATATTAAGTCCAGTGTTATAAATTTTTGCAAAGATTAAAAACATGATTTTTGAGGTAATGTACTGGAGTTAAATTACATCAATTTAATCATTGGCTTCGTTATTTAAGGCAGATACAGTTTTTAATAATTTTAACACTTTTTAAAGAATAGTTTCTACAGAATTCAGACCTCTTACATAGAGGGGAAGTTGCTTTAAAAAAGTATTAAGAAGCATGTTCTTTAAAACCGAAACAACCTTTTTTCCTATCTAGAATGTTGTCAACAACATGTGGAGTGACAGCCAAACACAAGTTTTTACAGGCTTCTTTTGTTCAGCAGCTGTGCAAGGAGGAAAAAGGGAAAACTGGAATTTTGTCCAAATAAGAAAAGATAAGAAAAGAAAAAAGACACTTAGAAAATGGCTTTTTGAGTGAAATACAAAACTTTCAAAATTGAAAATATGTGAAGCACACTAGCAGTAATGACAAGATGAAAGGTATTTCTGAAGATAAGTTAAGATCTTAAGTGTTTTTATGCAATCTGAATTTAACTGGGGGAGGAATGGGGAAGGATAAAAAGAAGTAGAGTGTACCTGAAATATGTTTGTAGCACACTGTGGTGCTAAATCTTGTTGTCAAGGCCAAGATGTTTGGGCTAAATTGTTGACATGGCTTGAACTGTTGGAGATAGCTTTTGCTGTTCAAATTTAATTTAGAAGCCAGAACTGAGATTTTGATACTATTACAGAACTCTGTGCTCTTTTACAAGTTGAGGGGGCTTTGTTTTGGTTTTGTTTGTTTTTAAATAGGCCTTCTGTTACTGTTGATGATCTGAAGAAACTTTTTGCAAATACTGGATCTACTGTGAAAGCCTTCAGGTTCTTCCAGTAAGTTCTCTTGTAAAAATGCTGAGCAAGCTTTCATCCTGGAAAATGGCTAATTGCTTTTTCTGGAAATTCCATGTGTGTATAACTGTAGGCAAAATTCCACGTACGTATATCTATAGGGAAAAGCTGTACAGCTATGACAATTTTAATAATTCTAATCTTAAAATTTGAAATGGAATAATATGTTAGCTTAATAAAATGAAAAATATTCAGCCTTTTGAGAAATTCCACATGTGTTCAAAGTAAGATAAAGTTTAAGGAAAGTAAATACTCACTTCTTTAAAAAGAAATACAAGCTGTGTATACGTAAAATGTAATGTAAAAGATGACAATGAATCTCCTCTAACATTCATTAGGGTTGCTTGGCAGCATTATTTTAGCATGATCATACCTGCTAGAATAATCCCATATATATGGACAATACAAGTGTTTCTTAGAGGTCTTCAAGCCTTATTTCAATCCTATTTTTTGAAGTGCAGTGTAATGGAAGAATGGCATGGCTGTAGACCGTTGATCTGCAAAATTTGTATAGTTTTGTTATGTCCTCATTTTAGCAGGTGCATGACTAGTTCTGATTCTTTCACTGGACAAGTGTTCAGTGTGTGTGATGTGGCTGAAAAAATACTTGTGTCACTTTTTTGTGTTGGCTACTGCAATGAAAATTTGGTTATGATTAATAATGATTTTTATTGTACTTCAGGAAAGATTGCAAAATGGCTCTTATCCAGCTGAGCTCTGTGGAAGAAGCAGTTCACGCTCTCATTGAGCTTCACAATCATGACCTTGGAGAAAACCATCACCTCCGAGTTTCCTTCTCAAAATCTACAATCTGACTTTTCTGTGAACTTTCCTATTAAGGCTACATCATACTTTTAGTAAAATCTTCAAGTAGACACTGAAACAGTTGTGACCGGCTCTGTGTCTTAAAAGAAAAAGCTCATTCATTTACAAAGAATTCAGTGCTGATGTTTTCTGATTTTTAGCTTGCAGTATGTGATCAAAGTTTATCATTCATCCATAGAAGGATTCTTCTGTAAAATTGCTTTAGCAACACTATTTATTATTAAATTTCCTACTTATATTTTGGGAACATCCTTCTAGCTTTTGTTTGAAATCAACCTTATAAAACATTTCTAAAATGCTTTTACAATATAACAAACAAAAAGTATTTCTAACAAAATGGTAAATCTACTCTACACAGGTTAAACACTAATTTGAATGGGAAATAAAGCTTGGGTTTCTTGAAGAAAAGCAAGCATTGACTGTGATGGTCATCTAAATAGTATTTATGTTACCAGGGTGTGTGTTCATACTTTGGCAAATTTTTACAAATAACTTCTTTTAAAAACAAAAAGTTTGTGCTGTTCATATTGGCTAAATTATTAGAGAAAAGACAGTGCCTTCTCACTGTGGACTAAAAATGTATTTGACAAGTTTCTTCAAGATGTGGTATCAGACATTTAGCTTGACTTAATCATGGAATGGAAGTTTGATATCTTATTTTTACGATGAAGTGATGTTGTGTAATAGTACATTGGAGAAAATAAGACAAGAAAATAGTCCTGATTTAAAAAAAAATCTTACCTTTCTTTAAAGAATAAAGTGTTTACAATCACATGGAAAATATTCATGTCTATGATGGTTTGATGAATTTTTAAGAAGTTATTTTTGTTAAGATCATCTTTGGAGGAAGAAAAATTAAATCTCAAGAGTGTTTTGTACCACTGTAATGTCTAATACTTAAATTACTGTTACTTATTATGTGCCTTACTATGTGCTTATGATAGAATAACTTGGAGTTTTATCTGAAGTATCTTGAAAAATATTTTGTGGGTTTTGTGAAAATTCTTTCCTTGGTCTTTTTGGAAATATTTTCCTTGATACTTCAAAATATTTTTTTCATTAAGTAGTGCTTTGAATTCTAGTCTTTTCTGCTTTGGTATAAAGACTGGGTAGAGGTGGGAATGAGGTTTAACTCATTGCATAATTGTGTAGGGATTATTCAAATTTCCTGCTTGCAGTTGTCTGGTACCAGTACTTGGCTGAAAAAAAAAACCTCACACACAGAAAAATGTACTGAAAAAAAAAAAAGAGAAAGAAAGACCAAACAGCAAACTTACTCCTGTTTCTGCACTTCATCTAGCTTTTTGAGAGGCATTGGCTGTATCAAAATATTCTCTTTTGAGTTTCTGCATTTTCTCTCAATATTAAATTTCCAGTAATAAAGAGCTAACATTCTTTCCTTTGCAAGTATGAAAAAATGTTCAATACTTAATGTCCATTTATCTTTGATGCAGTTAGTTCTTGTGTTGAAAGTACATATGAACTGTAGTGACTTCTGATTGTATTTTACAAAGTTAAATTTAATTTTAGGAGATATTTTTTTCTAGTATTTACTTAACCACCCTATAAAGATGTATTCCTCTCAAACATAGCATTTATTTACTTTGAACTACTGCAGAATTTGCTTCTGCTATAGTGTGTTGCCACATACTCATTTTGTTTTTTCATTAATTTGCATGAATTGTATGACTTTTTTCTATCTTTCTAGAAAAATGAGTATGTTTCTACCATGACCTGAGTAAGCTTTTTCAAATTTTCTCTCTGAATTAATTTTGCAAAATCAGCTTGCCTTCTTTTACTGTATGTAAATTAATTAGAAGTGCAGCAGCCAATCATAGTGAGGATGGTGCCAGATCTCTGTACTGCAACAAAAGTGTGCTATTTGACAGTAGACAAAATGCTGACTAAACATGTAGGTAGCTATGATAAGTGCTGTACAACACAAATAAATAAATATTCAGAATGTACTATTTACTGAAAAGTTAAATTGGCTTAGGAATAATAGACACTTTGGGATGTGAGATAGTCTTTCCATTTTCCCCTTTCTGAAACAGCTAATTCAGTTTGGTGAAGTTTGAAGCCAAGTATTTTATTTTTTAATTCATGAAAATAAGATCATCTAGTCTAACCCCTCAGATTAGGGCCAACTTTGAGCAGTTGCTCAGAGAATTATCTGGTTAAGTTTTCAGTATTTCCAGAATGGAGATTTCACAAATTATCTGTGCTTCTCACTGTTCCAATGTTTGACTGCCCCCATTGCGAATTTTTTTCCCTAATATGTACTTAGGCTTTAAACTAACTGCATCCTATGTCTATTGCCTTTTGTCCTGTTAGCTGTGCAACTCCCAAGAAGATCCATCTTCTCTATTATCATGGCCTTAAATTGTTAAAGATAGATTCATAATTTCTGTAATATAGGTTCTTAATTTCTGCCTAAATCTTTTGTGAAGTATCTGGTAATGTGCATAATGTTACCCAGAACCTGCACTCTAAGAGTTATATCCTTACTACAGGTACTGGGAATGGTCCATGGTAGAGTTTCTCTGCCTATGTATATGACAAGTCCACAAATCAGCTCTGGGTTACCTCCAGGTCTGGATTTTTTTGGTGGATGTGTGCTTGGTTCAAAATGTAGTGAGGCCTTTTTAGCAACCCAGGAGTAGCTTAGTGCCTTTTCAAATGACCTGTGGTTTGTTGCATAATGGTAAAACTTTTGCTTCTTTGATTTTCTTCAAATGGCTTTGAATATCAGAACAAATTTCTGAAACTTTGATTCATAATTTGACTTGGTTGCCTTGTCTGCTGGTCCTGTCAGTTGCACATTTTTTGTGCACTGATAGATTGGGGTCCTTTTTATGCCTAAGATATTCCACATATCTGAGCAGATTTGCCTATATATGACATTGTCTGATTACAGATGGCAAACCTGTGTTTGTATGCCAAGGAAACTCTTCGCCTTTGTTGATAAAAGTGCTGGAGTGTAATTCTGCATGATCAAATATCTTGCCCTCCTCCAATTCAGTAGGAGAGTGATGAGTTCTCTTTTTATAAGGGATGTGTACCTATTAATTGTCATTGTATACTGTTAAGATGTACTGCTGTTTTTCAAGTGAGAGGTCAGCTGCTTACAAAATGTGTTGGTTTGCCTTTACTTTTTGCCCTGATATATTGTTAACTAGAGCAGAACTACCAGGCTTAGTGTTGTTACCATTGCACTGAAAGGACACTGGTGAGATTATGCAGAATTTTTTCTTTAAATTAACTTTATCTTCTAACTGTCTTCTGAAGATTTGTTTGCAGTATACAAGACTTTTTGTCTGCTCTTTTCAAAGCAAATCCTAATAGTTAGGAATTATGAACTATTTCAAAAAGGAATGAAAAATTTCTGAGGTATTTAACTTCAGGGTTTTACTGCGGAGTGAAAAGGGGACAAATAAAATTGTACCAAAGTTTATGTGCCTTCAGTAGTTTTAGATGTAGATTTTTTTTTCATATCTATTGCTGTCTTAAGTATAATAAATACTTTTTATCCCTTGGAAATTGTGTATTTATATTGTTAAAAATGAATGTTGTCCACTGAAACAGAAGTAGTGACTTACAGCTGTTTCAATACAGATTTAATTATCCCTCTGCCTTTACCATTGCAGCTTTTTTGTTTTGTATTGCAGTATGCAGGGATTGAAGCATAACCTACATATTTCCAACTTTGAATAGTAGTAACATGTTGTGCTTGGAGCAGTCCCAAAGAAATGAAGGTCGTTGATAGATGAAGAAAGCTTTTACCTTAGCAGACTGATGTCATCATTGTAAGCAGTTTTTCAGTTCTTGGAAACTGTGCATTATTAATGAGTGGGAAGCTACCAGCTACTTAGTTCATTTTAAGCACTTTCCAATTATTTTTAAGTATGTTATCCACTTTCTGCAAAAGCTCACACCGGAACTGCAGCAGCACAAGACAAAGGTTGCTGACCAAGCAGATTCTTGCATCAGAATGCCACCCCACTCTCTGACCAAAGACTGATTGTTCTGGCTTACTGAGAAATTTTGTGGAAAACCTGTGTTATCTCTCATGCCCCTTTCTGATGGGAAGACCCAATGCACAGTGGTCTTTTCATCCACCAGTAGCAGTTTCAAGTAACACAGTGGAAGATGAGATCATGGTGTGAGCCAAATGGTGTGAGATAAGACAACAGGTTAATGGACTAGTTTTTAGTACCATGTCAAGACACACAAAGCATAGCTAAGAATTGCTGACATTCCCTCCTTTTACATGATTTGTTCATAAAAGTTCCATTTCAATTTATAAAAATGTTCATCTAACACAAGAAAATGCTTTATATATTTGTAATATCATGGTTTGGGTTTTTTTTTAAATTTGGTAAAAAGTGCATTGGGGAACAAATGAAAGTGTAAACTGCTTTTATATAAAACCCGATTGTATATTTTAATAAGCAACAGCTTTCATTTGTAACGCATCTTGTGGCATTGCAGAAAAATCCTTGTCTGTTGAGATGACTTAAAACTGAAAAGATGTAATATTAAAGAAACCTATTTTCTGACTGTGTAGTGCATGGTTGATTTGATTTTGTTTATGATGCAATATATTCTGTTTCTTTTAGGTTAGTGTATTTGCTGATTACCTGGTATCTAACTCTTTTCCTACTCCAAGTAAGTTGTAGCATGCCTTTTAATAAATGTCATTACAGTTGTACTCTCTTAAATTTTCCTGTGTTCTTGTCTATTGCTTTGGGGTTTTTCTTGTCTTATAATTGTGGAGCTAATGATGTCTTATTTTAGGATTTTTTGCTTTAGCATACATGGCCATCTAAGCAAAAGCTTTTTATCGCAAAACTATATTAAGAGGACTAATGCACATCTTCAACAACAGTTGGAGTTCAGCAGCACCTAAACCTTCCCCTGAGCAGGGTAGAAATTCTCATATCCAATAGCATGGAAATCTGTTCCACAACCCTGAGCTAATACAGCAGCT